GTGTGTGTGTGTGTGTGTGTGTGTGTGTGTGTGTGTGTGTGTGTGTGAAAGAGAGAAGCATATGTGGGGGGGTGAGTGTGTGTGTGTGTGTGTGTGTGTAAACGAGAGTGCTTGTGTGTATGTGTGCGTGTGTGTGTGTGTGTGTGTGTGTGTGTGTGTGAGTGAATTCCAGATTTTCTGTCTTTCCCAAACCCGCTCCTGTCCTCTCGCATATCACTCACAGACGGGGATCTGACAGCAACAACAAACCTACAGTGAGTGATCTCTCTCCAGCGCGAATCCGCCATCAAGATCAGGGACGAGGAGGAGGAAGAAGAGGAAGAGGAGGAGGAAGAGGAGGAGGAGGAGAAGGAGGAGGAGAAGGAGAAGGAGGAGGTGGAGGAAGAGGAGGAAGAGGAGGAGGAGGGAAAGAGAAGGAAGAAGAAAAAGAAGAAACCTTCTGTCTTCCCAGGATTGTTTTCTCCCCTTATCTTTACGCGCGAGTGTGCGCGTGGTGCGTGTGCGCCCCTCGTCCCTGCCATCTGAACCCCGTCTTGGATGTTTAATAAAGAAATCAAGTGTCTCACCAGTCACCAAAAAAAAACAGCAAAAAGCAAAACCAAAAAAAAGAGAAAAAATCCAAAAGCAAAAACAAAAAGAGAGAGGGGAAAAAAAAACCAAACAAACAAACAAGGCAGAACCAACCTCACTTGCAAGCAGCAGGCGCGAGCCGCGATATCTGCCACCCAGAGAGGGGGTCTCCGGCCCCGCGCTGGAGCGCTGGCAGGGGGATCATCAGGGGGACAGAGGCCGAGTGACGTCCTAGGAGCCACAGAGAGACGAGCGAGACTGCGGCCCCCGCGCGCGGCTCGGGGCTGGGGCGCCAGAAGTGAGACTGGAGCTAAGTAGAGCGATGCCAAGGAGGAAACAGCAGGCACCCAAGCGGGCGGCAGGTAAGAGATGGCTCCGCTCCGGGTGCCCGGCCCCCGAGCCCGGCGCACAGCGGCTCGCCCGCCCGCCCTCCTGGCCCGGGGCTGGCGGGGACACCACCCCCTGGCGCTTTCAAGAGGGTTAGCTTGCGGGTGCCCTGCTCACCACCCCGTACTGATCTCCCCAATCCTCCTTTCTCCAGGCTCCCTCTGGGTGGCGGCGGGGGAAGCTGTCCCACCAAACCTTCCTCGTTTAAACTTTTCCTCCCTCCACCCTCTACCCCACCCCTAACTTTTTCTCTCAGTCTGGCTTCTTGCCTCTGGAACCAAAGTCGGATTATGGATTTGGGGTGCAGGGGGAGGGAGGTGCCCCCCACTGGCCTCATCCCTCTGAGAGGTCAGTGCTGGCAGCTCCTGGCCTCCAGGGACAGCGTCTCCAGTCGCTGGGGCTCAGGGCTTGCAAGTGTGAGGTCTGGTCAAGCTGCAGCCTGGTTTGGGGGCTGTGAGCCTTGAGGGTGCAGCTTTGATGGCTAAGGTGCAAAAGGCACCCCCGGAAATGAGTGGAGCTTTGGGGTGTATTTTCTAAAAGAATTCACCGTTTGTAGAAATCTAATCAACCTCTCTTCTTTTCTGAAAGGGGAGGGGGGCACCCCATAGAAATTTAAAGAGCTTTGGATTTTCTGTGCCAGAGAGAACATTGGAAACTTTGCAAATTGACTGCCGCCATAGGAGCTGTCCTGTGGAATTCTTTCTTACAGGGACCCTCACCCTAAAGATCATAACAGGTTAATAGATCCCCACTACAGATCTTCAGAGTTTGGGCTTTTTTTTTCCCTTTTGGATTGCCTAATTGCTTTTTTTTAAATAGTATGCTGGGGTTTTGTTTCTCGGAATTGTAACAGGAAAGTTCATTTTTCTCCTGCCAGACCCACCCACTGAAAAATCAGCTTTCCACTCGATTGCTAGTTTTGATTTGACATTTGATTGATCACCTGTCATCTCGCTGCCTTTGATCTATTCATTCTGATATATATCAATAAATCACTCACCATGGTAACTCCGACTGCCAGTGACGCAAGCTTTGCCCTCTATATTCAGAGAGAGAAATGCACAATCATTATCTTGTTGGCTTTTAATGTGGGCGTTTTTATTTCTTTGTGTCCTGTAGTTGAGCAGGGCTTTAGCAAAAACTTAAGTTGTGTTGGCTCCCCCCCCCCTTCTCTCTGACTTTCCCTCTCTTACTCTGAGCATCGAGGGGGAGACTGATTCGGAGACCACAGCTATGTTTTATTCTGTTCCAACTTGAGCCAAACATGGGGAGGAGTTTCCAGGACACTTGGGTAAACTTTTCAAAGTCCCCAAGAAGAAGTGAGTTAGGAATCTGGAGAAAGTGAGCGTGTGTGTCTGAACGTGCTGGCTACCGAGTTCATAATCTTTCCATCAGTGCCTGCTTCCATCCCAAAGAGCAATACATATGCTTCAGAAAATCCAGTTTCTTTCCTTCCCTCCTGAGTGCAGAATCACTTCTTGGGGCCATGTGTAGGTTGCTTTGAGTTGCTCTAAAGCTTTCATTCATGTATTTTCAATTGTTTCTCTAAGAGCAAAATAATGAAAATATTCTTATAACATACACATTTGCAGCTTGTCTAGGCAGGGGGGTTCTTTTCTCAACTCTGATTACCTCTCTTGAAAACAATAGCTCTCTTATTTTATTTTAATTTTTTTTAACTCACACTGCTTCGCTCTCTGACCATGTGAGGGTGTGTGATGGCCTTCAAGACGTCAAGAGTCAGCCCGCTGCATCTAATGCTGACAACATAAACTCAAGTGTAGGCTGGATTATCAGAGATGGCATCCTTATTGTCTGTTGTCCCAAAAGAGAGCCTTGGGACAAGGCTAGAATGATACTGCCCTGAAAACTACTGTTTTGTTTTGTTTTTTCCCCCTCCCTTCCCTGTAGTTCCGGTAAAGGCCATCAAGAACTAGGCAGCAATTTAAATTACCAGAATGGCTGGACATGTCTCTTTTCACAAGCTCATTACAAAAAGTGCCTTGCTCAGAATTGCTGTACTTTAATTATAATTATTCACTGATCAATGGAGATCCAGGTGTGCAGAAAATGACTCTGTATCACATTATTTAAATTAGATATTTTCGTTAAGGTGCTATATCTATTGGTGTTGGCTACCTTTTTTATTGTAATAGTTGCAATGTGTGTGTGTGTGTGTGTGTGTGTGTGTGTGTGTGTGTGTGTGTATTAGAAACTTGTGACTGTACTTTCAGTTTCCTGGTCGATTGGATTCTTAGTGTCTTTGCAAGACTGTCTCCATGATTCTCGTTATGTTCCCTGGAAGAAGCAGAAATCCTTTTCTAGCTGAGATGGGGTAATTCATTTCGTATGCAGCGAGTTCTCCTGCTTTCCTGTATTTATTTGCTCACCTAAGGTGGGTTGTGCTTCCTGCGATGTTTTTATCCACTCATCCGAGGTCACTGATGCCCCACTCTGCTTTAGGATGGGTGAGACAAAGTTAGCTGAGGTCCCTCAGCCAGTTACGGTGCAGGGAAGGGGGGAAGGTGCCTCTCAGCCTGTAGCTGAGCTAACTTTTATCACTGCTTAAAATTAAATACAATGCACAACTGTAAGTCATTACTCCTGTGGACCGATGTTGAAAGCTCGATTCCTAGTTTGATTAATGAATAATAGAAGATCGAAAAAGTATGGGAGTGAGCCAGGCATGGAGCTCTCCTGGACCTCTCTTTCTCCAAAGAACTCTTCCAGGCTCTTCGGCTTCTTTACAGGATTCAGTTTAAGGAGTTGGTGGCTGCACTTTCTATATACAGGTCTCTAAATAGAGCCACAGGATGATATATACCAAGTGATGGAGAATTTTAATCTTTCCCTTTTAGATTCCTCCCACTGCAGGGTGTGTGTTGGGGAGGGGGGGGGATAGGAGGAAGGCAATTCTCTTTAAGTAAATAGCTAACAGAGAACATTTCTCTCTTGAATATTACTGGTCCTCACTTTCTAAAGCCTTACTTTTCCACGGTGCTAGGACTTAGGGCCAGGAGAAAGTTTAGAAAGAAGCTTTCATACCCTGTATCACGTATGTGTAGGTGTGCCTGGCTCACTCCCTTGACTGTATGTTTGGCTTAATATTAAAATGCATCTGCTTTTACCTGAAAATCTTCAGGAATCTGCCTTGGCATCCTTCCCCCCTTGTTCACTTTAGGGGAGGTAAAAAGACGATGGCAAGAAGGTTGAACAAAAAGAAACTGCCTTGATGTGTTTGCACTTTATAGAGTGCTTGCATTAAAAAAAAAAAAATGCAGACGTGTTTTCTAACATTTCTTTTCCCTAACAACCGCAGCTGTGTGGTCCGCATACTCACGCAGCAGCGGGTTTACTTCAGAATTATACTGTTATTTTTATAGTAATGCCCGGCAGTTGCAATGGGGCATGGAATCTGTAATCACATCCCCGTGACTATCTAACATGCCTGTGAGTAACATCCCCTGCCTCTGTTCACCTCCTAGCCATTCTGTGCTTCTTTCCTGTAAACTTGTCCTAGCTTTTGATAATCCAGTTTTTTTGTTGTTTTCTGTTTTGTTTTGGTTTGTTTTTGTTTTTGTTTTTTTGTGGGGAGTATGGCAGGAGGGAACATCTCCCTCAATTTATTTTGTTTATTGAATGCAGAGATGAATAATGCAGATTTTGTTTTCACGGATGTCCTTGTGTAGCAGTAAACATTAGACTATTAGCAATCATTACTTAAAAGTTGCAATTTGCACCTTAATAGCACAGGTTATTTACATGGGAAACACATTCAGCCGGGGCAGTTCTGAACACTGCACTGCCATGGAATAGGCATGGCCTGAGAGCTCTCCTTTTCTACTTCAGGATAGTGTCGATTCTGGACTCACGGGCGAAGTCCCTGAAATCTCAGCTAACTGCATGGGTTCAATAGCCGGTGGCCGCAAGGGGGGTTTGCTTTTACTTTACTGGCATGCGAGACCTAGGTTGTTTCTGGACCTTGATTTTCTCTTTGCTTAACCATCCCTCAGAAAAGCAAGTTTATGTCTTAAGACTTAAATGTCTCATGCTGTAGGTCTCTTTGCTTCCCAGAATGGTATGGCTTTAAGACAAGTGGATGGTCTCTCTCTCTCTCTCTCTCTCTCTCTCTCTCTCTCTCCAGCCCACAAGGCTTCAGCAACAGGAGCTCTTAGCTATCTTTGCTGTTTAAAGCAGATCTCAGACTACAGAGGCCAAGTACCTAAGAATGCCTTTGCCCTTACAGTATTTTGGGTCAGAATTGATCCTTTATGTGGTCCTTTCTCTAGCCCCCTCCTGATCTCCTTCCCCCGCCTCTCGGCTCACCTTTAAAGACCCAGATTGAATAGGACATTTCAAAAGTGCATTTGTTTTAGGCACTTATTGATTTCATTTTTAATCTGCCATATCAGGACATAATATATTAACCCTAATCAGAAGATTGCAAGTGGCGGGACTCTAAGCAGAAAGGGGAGGAGAGGGTGCTGGGGAACCTTGTGAAGTCACTGAGGCTTGAGGCTACCTTTGGGGAGAGTGAAAATGCTGCTTGGAAGGACTTGACTCTTCTTTTTCCTTCCGCTTTGTGTTTCTTATTGTTTCCAGCCAACTTGGTTCTTCTTGCTGCATTTGGAGAAACTTCACTCTCCATAGACAGCCCCTAAGCCTCTTCAGATTTGTCCCCAAGCATCTTAGCTGCTGTCACGTTCTCTAGCTGAAGATCAGGCCTCCAAGCATCCCTTCTGACTTCCCATTGGGAGGGTGGGTGTCTCTCCAACTAGATAATAGCTGAGTTTGTGTGTGTTAGT